GACCCGCAAGAACTTGGCCGACGGCTCCAAAGCTGGGGGGAGGCAAAAGCAAAAGCATGGCCTGTGCAAGTGAACAACGCAAGGCAGGTCAAGTGGAGCCAGGGCAAAAACAAAGGGCAAAAAAGGGGCAAGTTGCAAGACTTTGTGAGCATCAACCCAAAGGCGGCCTATGAATCCTACGCGGTGGCGGTGGGAGGAGGGTGAGGGGGGTGGCAAATGGGTGAAGGTGCCACCAGGCTCGCCACATATGGGGGGAGGAATGGATCTGGCAAGATGGATGGGAGAGTGGATGCTGGTGGGACGGTGGATGAGGAAGGCCTGAAGACCCAGCGGTCATGTTGCCCCTGGTGCTCCTGATGCTCCAGCTGAGGGCGCTCATCCTCCTCATGCAAGGCCTGGAGACCTATTTTTAAAAGAAAACGAGGAGGCATGGGAAAGCACATAAGTCGCTATTCTCAGTAGACAAGTTATCCATGACGTTCTGCTTAAGCAATCAAAGCAAGCTGGGCACAGAATTTGGCCAGAACATTTCCAGAGAGAGAGGGAGAGAGAAAGAGGAGAGTTTTGGAAGAAGCTGATATTTTCTGGCTTCAATCCTGCATGTGCAGAACATGCGTCCTGCTTAGGATCCTTGAAAGCTCCTTTGCAGGAGTCAATGTTGACATGTTTGGCTTGGTTGTGTAATAGCATGTTGCTTCGCAAGTTTTTGCTCAAGCTGCCTTTAGCTGGAAATGGCTTGGTGTTTTTTCCTCCTTCGAAGGATGGGAAAGCACATAAGTCGCTATTCTCAGGACACAAGTTGTCCATGACATTCTGCTTAAGCAAGCAGCTTTTGCAAACATCCTCAAGCAAGCTCCCATTGTGGGACCTTGTTCTGGGCACAGAATTTTGCCAGAACAGTTCCAGAAAAAACAAGGTGTATTGACAGCTCCTCTTCTTTTAGAAGAAGCTGATAAGCTTCCCCCGCAATCCTCGTCTCTATATACCCAGCAGGGTGCAGGATTGACTTGGTCAAATTCTGCAAGCTCCTGCATGAAATGGAATTTTCCTGCAAGATGTTTTGAGCAGTTCTTTGTCCCACCTTTCCCTGCTAAGACAGGAATATAGCACTGGCTGAGCCGGCGAGCAGCTTCAAGCACTGTTGACTCATAGCTGTCTTGGGCATTGAGCAGCTTTCTCTACAGCCCAAGGGACCAGTCCGAACTTCTCCAGCATTCCCTTCAAGTTTTTGGCTATTGCAAGCTTCTTGATCATCAATGGTGTTGAATGAGCCAGTCTGTTGCTGGGAGGAACCCTCTTGTAAAAAGACAAGATGTTTCTATGCATAGCTGCTGCTTGGTCTTTAGCATTGGAGCCAGGGAACCTGCTTAAAAGCAGCTGCATCAGGTTCCCTATGAAGTCCGCGGCCACTCCAAGATCGCCAGTCGATGACAGGTGTCCGCAGAAATCCCAGGCAAACTAAACAAAGGTGAGATTCTGGAAGCATGAGCAAGATGCTCCCATGAGTTTTTTCCCTTGCTTCTCCAGGATGCTGTGGAACTGACATCCCTGATGTCTTGAGGTGTAGCCCAGCATCTGTAGCAGCAATTGGCACGAGTGTCCAGCCAGCCAAACCAAATCCATTCTTGTACATTTTCCAGCCCTCTTGAGTTTGAGAGATCGGCCCCTGAGCACCCGAGGCCTGCTTGCTTGACCCTTTTCCCTTGCATTTCTTCTCCATGGAAGCCTTTGAGAGGAAACTTGCCTGCCAGCAGGCATCTGAAGGACCAGGCAACCACTCCCAATATCATTGTGGAAAAGCCATTCTCTTGGCACATGTGCTTCTTGTTGATAGCTGTGATTGGCACCCTCAATCGTTTGGCCAGGCAAATTCAGAATAGATTGTCCCATTTGACTGGGACACCATCCACCCAGAAGCCCAACAGCAGGCAATGAAAACCTTAGTGCCCAAGCGTGTTTGAAGCTGACCCAGATGCACAGGCTCCTACAAAGGAGTAACTCCTACAAAGGAGTAACTCCTACAAAGGAGTAACTCCTAGAAAGGAGTAACCGATGATACTTATCATCGTCCTCGTTGGAGATGCAGCGGATGCTACGATGATACTTTTCATCATCTTCCATAGTCATCCAGGTGCTGGGGATGCGTCGTGATAACTGTCATCGCTCGATTTGAGATGCGAAAGATGCGTATTCATGATTATCATTGACTGTTGGTGATGTGTGGGCATGATTATCCTCATGACTGCTGGTGATGCTGAGGATGTTGCGATGATACTTGTGATGACGCTTGTCACCATCATCATCATCATCATCCACTGTTGGTCGTCCTCGTTGGAGATGCAGCGGATGCTAGGATGATACCTTTCAGCATCTTCCCCATGGTCATCATCATCATCATCACCGTTAGATGCTATCATCATCATCGTCATCATCAAGGGATGCTACGATGATACTTATCATCGTCATCGTTGGAGACGCAGCGGATGCTACGATGATACTTTTCATCATCTTCCTCATAGTCATCATCCTCATCGTCATCCTTTCTTACTTCTTGTATAGAAACCAAAAGGGACGTTAGACACCACTTCCAATGCAACGGATGCTACGATGATAGTTATCCAGGCACTGCTAGAGATGCAGAGAATGTTGCGATGATACTTGCGATGACTCATAGTCATCCTCGTCATCATCACCGTTGTCATCATCATCATCGTGATCATCATCCACTGGGAGATGCAGGGGATGCTGCGATGATACTTGTCATCGTCTTCGTTGAAGATGCAGCGGATGCTAGGATTATACTTTTCATCATCTTCCTCATGGTCATCATCATCATCATCACCGTTAGATGCTACGATGATACTTCATCAACGTCATCATTACCAAGGGATGTGCCTGGATAACTATCAAACCTAGCATCCGTTGCATTGCAAGTGGTGTCTACCTGTTGATTTCTATACAAGAAGTACAGAAAGGATGATGATGATGATGATGATGATGATGATGATCATAACAATAATGATGATGACGAGGACCATGAGGAAGATGAGGGACACAGGCTCTTCCAAAGGAGTACCACAAGCCCAAAGGAGCAACACAGACTGTGACCCCAAACACAAGCTTGGTGGCTTAAAAGTTGCCATCCAAATTGCTTTGCCAAATCCTCAGTGTACAGCCTTTGGGCCAGGTCTGTAAGACCAGCACTCATAAATGTTTTTGGCTAACTTGTTCCAATGCACAAAACTGTGCACAATCTCATGGGCTTGTGGGTGTTGCTGTCCAGAATGTGCACATTGCCTCTGTAAAGCTGGGCCAAGCACTTTTTTTAGCAACTTCCTTTACAGGTCCTTTGGGCATGTGAGCCCATCGCAACAGAAGCAAGGTCGCTGACATTCTCAGTATTGGCTGCAGCTGCATCCCTGAACAAGCTTGTAGCTCTTAAGGCTGACACCCCTCCAGCCAGGAAGGGGTCAGCCAGATTGTTCCTGAACCTTTTATTTGGCTGGCATTCATCGACATGGCGATTCTATAGATACGTTACACATTGAGCCAGGCAAGCACATATGAACAACCCTGCAGCACTGCACACAAGCAAACATGATGTTTAAGAGCAAAGCCATTTTCTCTTTCTGGGTAAGCCGACCCCATCATTGGGTGGCCACAACCAAGCCCTAGGCACAAAACATGTCCTGCCATGTTGGATCATGTTGCCTTTGGCAACTTCAAAAAAATCAAGGCCAAGCCCAACGCAGAGGTGCTGGAAGTGTAGCAAAGGGTTATTGGCAACGATGGCCAGGAATGTGTCGGCATCCTTGGCTTTCCAATCAACCAAACATACTTTGGGGAGCACAATATTTCCCATTGATCAGTTTACGTTGCCCTATGCAGCCAGGTGTCTTCCATGATGTGTTGCAGAGTCCTACACTAACCTCCTACATAGGAGGTGGGCCCAGGAAAGCTGAAACACTGGTGGGTCCTACACTAACCTCATACATAGGAGGCAGTATCTGCCAAGAGAAATTGAAACACTGGCCGGGTTCCATGGTGAAGCCATGCATTCCAAGGTCCATAGGGCAAGAGGTCATTTAGTTGTTCCCTCCTACACAGAAAACATGAGGCTACATTATGACAAGCACTTGTTGAAGACAGTATGGTGGCCCCTACCGTGCTGGCCCTGTACTTCAAGGCATTCAGCAACTTCTGCTGATCCATCTTGGTCTCAGAGGCTGCATGAGGCTTGACAGGCTTTGCACCTTTCTTGAATCCAATCTTGGGGCCAGCTTTTGAACCTCTTCCCATAGCTCCAAAAAAAAGCAAATGGACCTAGGCACTACTGTCCACCAGGAAAAAAAGTTGAACAAGGGTTGAAAGTTTCAACTTTTTCAACCCTGGTTTCCCTTCAAGTAGTGAAGAACCAGGGTTGAAAAAGTTGAAAGTTTCAACCTTTTTTCAACCATCATTTCTTGATGCCACACATGCACAGGCCACTGAGAGAATCACAGCCCAGATCCATTAGCCAAAGTCTGAGCCTCCTGCAAAGGAGACAAGTGCCTGGCCATTGCAAGCAGGTGTGGTGATGTTTGCCCACATGACCCATGACTGGTATGCAACACTGATGGGCTTGCCAACTATGCAGCCCCGTGCAGTTAATATAATATCATGACCAAGCAATGTGACTGGCAACTGAAGCATTTGAACCACATCATATCAAGTTGGATTAGGCAAGTGTTGGTTGTTGATGGCAACATTTGAAATCTTTGCACTGTTCTCAAACACCCTCCAGGTGCCTCCTGCACAGGAGGGTATTGGTCTCAGCAGTGAGCAGGTCAAACATTCCAATTAAAAGAAAATGTTAAATGCTTACTCCCACATAGGAGCATGCAGGCATCATGCACAAGGGCAACATGCCACATGTGACTCGGCCGACCTCATGGCATTTCAGTCTCAAGGATGCTGCGCTCAACATTGTTTCACATTTCCTGCCTTACAGTTACAGCTGCCTATAGCTCGTCATCCTCCTCTGGAGGAGGAGGAGGCATGATGGGTCTGGGGATTGCAGCCTGCATACCCTGAGCAAGGACAGGCAGTCCACCAGGCAATACCACCAGAAACACATTTGCAGGGGTGTGTTGCGCCATGATGTTGATGGGAACTGGGCCAACAGGGCCCACATGTGGCATTATCTTGGGAAACACAGGCATCATGTGCGTTGGCTGGAAAGGCGGCTCAGGTGGGAAAGTCGGAGGCGGTGCCACGCTCATTGAAGATTCCGGCACTGTTCCTGGGGTCGCTGGTGGAAGAGCGTCATCCTGCTCAGGGTCATGGTCATCATCAAAGTGTTCTTGAAGGTCTTCTAAAATAGAGGCAGCTTCTTCATATAGTTGTTGGCCATAGCTGGTTGCTTCGAAGGAGGAAAAAACACCTTATTTAAGCAATGTGTTTTAAGAAAAAAACTCCTTAAATAAGAAACCTTATTTAAGCAATGTTTTTATTTAAAGAGTTTTGGGCTCTCTGGGTTGATGCCATGCCACTTCGGAACCAAGTATTGCCTGGCTCGAACCCACCTCACTTCTTCCGGGAACTGGTTGCGGTTTATTGCGCAGTGGCAGTGGTAGATTTACTTTTCACATTAGCTCTCCGCGGCGTTGCTTTATAAACCTGCGCGATGCTGTTTATTCAGGGCTCGACGCTTACAGTGTTTTTGGAGCAGGCGCCGGCGGGCACTCGCAGCCAGCAAATCAACAGAACAGGCACTGTTTGTGGTAGCTCCTGTCTAACAAAAACATTTTTGGAGTTGCGCCGCGACCCATGTTGGCGGGGCTTTTGCCTGCTGGGCCCGGCCTGGCGCCAGCCGCCACATACTGTCAAAACCGTGAGAGAGACACTTTTCTTTGGAAAGATCCCCCCCAACATCGCAGAATCACCACATCGCAAGTCCTCAAACTAGCTCAAGAACTGCTCCCCAACAAACAGACTGCCACACGGAGCACACGACGCACTGCGGGCAACAGTGACTGCGGGGAACCGTGCAGCGTCGCGCAGCCCGCCTTCCACCTCCAAAGAACTCAGCTCCGCCGCAGTCAGCTTCACCCCAGCACAGTGCGTCTTCTGCAGGTAGGCCTGGTTTGAGACACAACTACCAACCACCTGCAACGCCCTGTCAACGCAAAGCCTCAGGATGCTTGTCCAGGGGTCGCCAAGGAATCTGGGCGATAGCATAAGGCTGCGCCGCAAAGCAAGCACTTTTTCCCTCAGCGAGGTGCAGGCTCCCTTTCGGACAGCGACGCTGGCCCAAAGATGGTCCTTTACTTGGGCAGCGTTACGCTGCGAAAGAGCGACGTGTTTGAGAATGTTCAGCTGGTCCTCCGCGGCAGCTTCGCGGGGGAAGTGAAGCACAGCACAGCCTGTGTCAGCCGAGAACCTCTCCAAACTTGGGCTTGATGTCAAGAGCTGGGCTGAACGTTCCGTGGCAACCTCTGCAGAGCTTTAGAAGCGTCAGCTTTCTAAGCCTTGGCAAGGGTAGAACTGCCACGAAAGGAAAGTGCTCAAACAATCTTAAACTCAAATATTGCTGGATTGCTCGCACCCTTGCAGTGGACACGGGCATGAGTCATTGCTGCGGCCAATTGGTCGCTAGAGACAAACAACTTCCAAGGCGGTTGCAACTGGGCGCCTGACGCGAGCCGCGCGCTGGACATGGCGGACGCGTGCCTGGCGCCACGCTTTTTCGGAAACTGCACCTAGACAACTCTGTCAGCTCCCGGCCTTTCGTCTGCCACTTCCTGCACCAAGATCCTTCGACATTTTGCTGCCCAGCGGAAAGTGTCAAATCTGCGCGCGCTTGCGGGCGTCTAATCCGGACATGTCCGAGACGAAATCCATTTCAGCTCCGGGTCAATGCCGAGCAGCGGCTTCTTACTCGTCCAGGGATGTGAGTGTTCAACGGAGGGTGAAAATAAAGCCCGTCAGCTGAATTATCTCCACCGCGCAGAAAGAAACACGTCACTTTTTGAGCTTCAAGCACGTGCAAAGAGTCGCGCGCAAGTCAAAACGACGTCTAGCGGACAACAAGGTAAGTCAACTCCATCTCGCTCGACCGCTCCCGGCAATATGCGGAGATCGTTTGCTCTTTACAAGAGAAAGACTACAAACCAATCAACCGCGCTCCTCTGTGTCGAGATCATGACCTCTGTCCCAATCTCGCGAGACACTTCCTTGACCTAATGGTTCTTTTTGATGCCTGCTTTGCTGCACAGCGGCGCTGTCACTGTTTGTCTTAGGTCGTGGCCGCGCTTTTGGGCCAGGACGTCAAATCTCGCCGAGGCCTGTTGAGAATCGCGACTTCATTCCCTGGCCTGAGACTGCTGGCACTCTTGCAGTCCTGCCAGTCGCCAACACGCCAGCATCGTGCTCTACGCCGTCAAGGCCCTCGGCGAACAGCCGTTGTGCAGGGGGTTGATACAAAACATGTCGGGGAGCTGGAAGTTGACAATGGTTAAAACCAACGCACGCGCACGGGCGCCCGCGCACACACACGCTTAAACTGTCCCGAAAGCAACCATACAAAGGCAACTTCACAATGGCTCCTGACGTCAATAGCGAAAACGGGGAAGCAACAGGGGCGCAGGAGGGGGGCGGGGGAAAATGCTTTATTTAGTAAGGTATGGTGGGCTGGTCCGAACACACGGGCGTCTTTGAAGCTAGTGTGTTCTTCCAGACAGAAAAGGTCTGAGAGCGGGCGCCCGTTCGCTGTTCCTGCTGGTCTCCCGGGTCAGGTCTGTAGCCTTCACTCAGAACCCACTTGCCCGGGCAAAAAATATTCGCCTCCCCGCTCCAAGACACGTGACAGAGGTAAGAACCACAAAGCAACTCGCGAAACACAAAACAGCTGAGAAAGACAAAGGTGGGCTCACTTGTCAACAGTCATTTTGCCCGCGCAAGCTAAAGTGTAGTTAGTTGCTACGTGATTGTTACGCTAAGTATGTCGCCTAGGACTTGCAGGACTTAGCTAGGTCTCTAGCTACTTACTTACCAAAGTTATGGCTGCTTAGCACAAAAAGAATGAGAAGGACAAATGACTTCTGGCAACGTCAGATGGTTTTGTGCGCCCGTACAGATACTTGTGTTGTTTATGCCAGCACGCGCAAACAAAAATAAACATAACAAGGAGTGGCCACCAGGGCTTGACTGTGACGAGCTGCATGTGTGGTTTGCGGTAGCACGCTGGTCTCGTTATGTGTGTGCACCAAGCAGGTGTGGCGTAGCCACGTGTGGCTTGGCACACGGCAGCGCGGCTGACAGGCAGGCCAAGGGATCCATTGGAAAACATGCTTCGTCGCCAGCCTTGCTGGGTGAACAACGCTCATGACCAAAGCCAGTGGGCTTGAGACGTGCGTGCAACCAGCAGGCGCGTGCCAGCCGCATCACCTGACTGAGTGTGGCATCAAGACTGTGCATCCATTGCCCGTGCAATGGTACTCAAACGTTGCACACACGACGCGAGCAAGCTGTTTTGACGATAAGAGCTTTGTCTATCTAGGAAACCAGCTCACGCATTTCGGCGCCGACTCGCTCGCTCTAATAAACAGAAGACTTCAAAGCAAACTAAAGCACCGAAAACAACCTCAAAGCCAGCCAAAAGCGGACTGGCCAAGGCGGGCAACGCAAAGCGTTTACAATTAGAAAGCAGAGTATGCGCCTCTTCATGGGTGCCAACACTTTGATGTGACTAATCTGTCCTTGATGGAAACCACAGCATCCTTTTTGCGCTGGCCTTGGCTGTAGGGGCGAGCAGCTTGGCACACCGACTTCTCCGAACATCGCTTCAACAAATCAGCAATTCTTCTGGTCGGCTTGGCTTGTGCTTGGAATGCAACGTTGGGGCTGCCAAAGCCATCGTCGTGGGGCTTTTCAAATTGCAGTGCGTTGGAAACGCTCTGCCCATAGCACTGTGCAACTTTGTGTTTGCACCCGTGGGCCCGCAGTTGGCTGCCAAACAAGCAAACATGACGGCGGCGAATCCCCAACCCCAGTGGGGGTGAATTCCCGCGCTGTTTGTTTTCGTTTTTTTGGTGGCCAAGCCGCTCGTTATAGGCGCATGCCATCTTTGGGCATGGGCTTGTATGATGGGGCACGCCAAATTCTTTTTGTGTTTCAGCACAATCGTCAGACGACTGCGCAACGCAATGTGGGTGTGGCCCTTATCACACAGCGCGTCATGTCATGAATCGAACGACAGCCTGAGGCCTGGCGCGCGCGCATACATCATATCTTGCCCTGTCAGGCGTGAGCCTATTGCCCGTCGAAGCTGCGTGAAAAGACTGAGGCGTGTCGCTGGACACCAGACAATACGTGGAGCAGCCTTGGAGCTCAGTGTCCATTGATTCACCGTGACAAGCTCAATCCGCTGCTGTTGTGCTTGGTGCGCCTGACACCGAAAGTCCAGACAGGATAGGCCAGCAAGACGCCAGCCATCGAAGCAAAAGGTTTGCAGGTAACTAAGAACAATAAACGTGACGCTACCGCGCTTGAGACAGTGCGCATCAGTATGATGTCAACAATGCAAGTCAATGTCACGATCAAATGCATGAGCAAGTGTGCTAAAGAAAGCAAGCTCCGAACTCCCGAGCGGAACAGGCCTTGCTTTTCAAGTTCAAGTTGCGTCGCTGGCCAACTGGAAAGCACGAAGGGCAGCGTGCGCGGGTTCCAGCGTTCCACCTGCCACGCGGGCTTGCGTGCGCGGGCCACCCTTCTGCAGGGCTTCCGCGAATCTTCCGTAATCCACCACCCGTTTTGGCCCTCTTGCATTGCTGTTGGCATCTGCCCTTCTAGTAAGCGTCGCTCTCGCAGCAGCACCATTTTGCTTTTATCTTTCGGGCGCAAGTTGCCCCGCGCCAGCATCACCCACATGACCATTGCCAAAGCACTCCTCGTACTCGTTGGTCGTTTGCTTCTTCATTTTACATGTGGTGTCTGACCATCCGCAAATCCTTTGTGTTAGATAACAAAAACACATCTGCGGCCGGCCGGATTTCACACAAAATTGACTATTTTGCCAAAACAGTCCCTTGCGTGACTTGGCTCGACCTCTGCTCGACCTCGCTCGACCTCCGCTCGGCGGCGACCAACAACACGCTTCCGCCTTTAGCGGGCCGCGCGGGAAGGTTTGCCATGAAAGCGGCACCCGTGGCCGATCTCCCGGCCCCAGTCGCTTTGCCTCCGTGGACGACCAGCTCTGCTACCAGCTTGTCTCTCGCAAAGAATTTGCTGTTTTCAAGCCACCAACTCAAGAGCGCTCCGTCCGAGCCAAAGCCACAACGGCAGCGGAGATTACGTGCAACTTGGCTATAGTGCTCGATACGCAACTGCCCCACGAGTTGGCCTCACGTTTTCTTATCCTCAGGTTCCAGCAGCCAGTCGCACACAACCTCGGTATTTTGAGCACGTGCCCTCGAGAGTTGCTTCCTTCCAGGGCATAAGGAGCATCTGAGAAACGATCTGCCAAGGACAACGAGAACGAGCCGTCTGCGCGCGGAACCTTGCTGCCAAACAGTGTGACAATTGGAGCTTTTCTTGCAAACATCTCTCGCGCTCCCCCACCACTCTCTGCCGCTGCTTACAACGCACCTATCCACGCTTGATTTAAATTGATGCGACAATCCAACAAGAGCCTGGCTGCAAACTGTGGCCAAACGGAGGCGATGATCTGATCCTTCCAAGGCACCGCTTCAAGTTGCCACGCCAGAAGCACAATCAGACAGACCCGCATTAGCAGCCATTGTCGCTGCTGCAATGACAATCACCAGCATGAGCGTTTGCAAGCGCCATCATCATCGTCTTCATTGACACTTGAATCGAGAGGTTACGCGCTTGCGCATTGCTGCGTCAACGCACCATGAAATCTTGCTCAGCCCGCCACAACATGGCCAGGCCGCCAAATCAAAGCAGCGTTCTTGTCCACCAAAGACTTGTAAGCCTGGCGGGCGACTGCGGCGAGCACGTCAATTCTGAACAAGTCCAGCTGCAAGGCCTCACGCAGGCTGCACTTGACCTTCTAGCGCGGAGTCAAGCAGTACAGGTTGGACGTCGTAAACATCGGAACGCAGCATCGCCCAACCCTCAGTAAGCCCCTCGCATCCTGGCCAGCCGCTTGCGAACTGAGATTGGTCATTGCCTCCGCACTACAGGTGACAACCACTAGCACGACACCTAGAATCCACGCACATCACCAAGTGGAGGACAACGCTCAAGCTGACATCAATGCGTTGCAACCGCGCACTTTACTTGCCTGTTCACTTAGATTGTAAAGTCACCCGCTTCGCCCCATCACCTTTTGGTGAAGGCCTTTGAAGCCGCAATCTAACATGACTTAATATGACTTAAGCACAACACGCGCGTGTCTTAGACATGCGTGTCTGCTAAGTTTCTCAATGGCAGCACATATGCAACTTCTGCCTCCCGCAAGAACATCGTACAGTATAAAGAGAAGTAAAACAATTGACAGAACAAAACCACACAGCCAATCAGGATGTGTATGTAAAACAAACATGGTCGCATGCATCAATTGCTCACAACTCCATCCAGCACGCGGCACACACCATGCCCTTGTTATCGCCACGGTCCTGCAGCTACGCAGGTCCACCATCATTGGCTTCAAGGATGTTGCAAACTGTTGAACTTGCTTGTCCTTCACTTGCCTCCGCTGTCCACACTTTGGACACCTCAGGCTGGTGTCTGACTTTGCGAGCTTGCAAGCACATCTGTTTGGTCTGCTCGGTCACGATCCGCCGACGTTGCTCGGCGTGTCGGGTCCTCAAGAGAGGAGAGTGGATGACCCCGCCCGACGTCTGATACGTGGGGTTTGGGGGTGGGGGTGGGGTGTTCTCCACGCGCCGCGCGGCAATTTGACGACCTTCCGCTGAAAATAGCCTTCGGGGAGCCAGTGTGGCAAAACAAGAGTCCCAGGCTCGAATCCTGCTGGCGGCTCTTTGCTGGTTCAGGTTGTTCTGCCTCCTTTTTGTTGAAAATCTGGAAATTACCGGGGAGTGGAGAGGAATGCAGGGAAGGGAGGAAATAAAGGGAAATGTAAGAACATGCAGGGGACAGGAAGTGGAAATTACAAGAAAGCAAGGGGAATGAAAGGGAACCGAAGGGGAACTGAAAGGGACATGCAGGGGAAAGGAGTGAGAACAAGGGGAGTGAAGGGGGAATGAAAGGCAAACAAAGGACACAAAGGGAGAATGAAAGGGACATACATGGAACATGAAGCGGACATACCGAGAACATGCCAGGGAAATGAGGGCGGAAATGAAAGGAAAGGAGGGGGACATGACGATGAAATCATAGGGAATGACGAGACATGGACAGGACATGAAGCGGAAATCAAGCGGAAAGCCAGTAGTAAGAAGACAATGCAGGGGATATGAAGGGGCAACGCACGGACAACTCAGGCGGAACACAGCGCTACAATGCAAACAAAGAGAGGGACGAGAGAGAGAGAGAGAGAGAGAGAGAGAGAGAGAGTGAGAGGGTGAGAGAGAGAGAGAGAGAGAGAGAGAGAGAGAGAGAAGAGAGAGAGAGAGAGAGAGAGAGAGGGAGAGGGGAGAGAGAGAGAGAGAGAGAGAGAGAGAGAGAGAGAGAGAGAGAGAGAGCGAGAGAGAGAGAGAGGGAGAGGGGGAGAGAGAGAGAGAGAGAGAAAGAGCGAGAGAGAGAGAGAGAGAGAAAGAAACAGAGATGAAGAGACAGAGAAAGAGACAGAGAAGGAGATAGGAAGAGACAGAGAAAGAAACAGAAATAGAGAGAGAGAGAGAGAGACAGACAGGCAGGCAGGCAGGCAGGCAGGCAGGCAGGCAGACAGACAGACAGACAGACAGACAGACAGACAGACAGACAGACAGACAGACAGACAGAGACAGAGAGACGGAGAGAGTGACAGAGAGGAAAGAGAGGAAAGAGAGAGAAGAGGAAAGAGAAACAGAAAGAGAAAGAGAAAGAGAAGGAGAAAAAGAGAAGAGAAAGAGAGAGAGAGAGAGAGAGAGGGGGGATGGGGAGGATGTGGAGGAGAGAGAGAAGGCGAAGGGAAAAGAGAGAGAGGAAGGAGAAAAGGGAGAGGACAATGTCGGCGGAGTGAGCCGGAGGCTCTAAAGTTTGCCATAGCTTGACATGAGTATCCCTGCGCTCGAGACCTGCAAGCCCAACGCACGAACTGGGCCCAGCACGTTCCCATTCCAGTAATTTCCTTTCGTCGCTTTATCGCCACAGGCGACGGCGGCAACTTAGGATCACCTTGGTCAACATGAAAACGGCAAATGATTTGAACGCGGATCAACATGAACAAACTGAAAACACGTTAGCAAACAAAGACTGTCTCAGGCCCGCACCGTGAGCGTTTGCGGCGTGAAAGTCATGCCACTGGTGGCCTTTGCCGGGCTGCACCAGGGCCTGCGCTGCACATGCTGCAGTGTTGACTCAATGAAACGCATACGCACACACATGCTCCTATGAGCCACCTTCCAACACAAATACTACGACTTTCTTAACCCTTTCGAGTAGTTTGCCCCATTGGCTGACCCATATGTTTCTCCAACATTACCCAACGTCTTCTGTTGCTTCCGTTGTGGCGGTGGCCTGCGTGCTCCAGTGTCGAACATGACTTGAAAAGCTGAGGGGCCATGAACTCGTAGTAGTCGATGGTCTGGTTGCAATTAGAATCGCCAGCTCTCACAATGTCATTCACAACTTTTGTCGGCAACCTGGTCGCTGCGGAGAACACGCAAGCAGTCAAGCTCATTTGCTGAGTTAGCACAATCCAGCACCCAACTGAACCTCAGCTGAGGCAGCAACAAACCACCAAATTCTTCATCTTTCAAAGCCTCGTAAAGCTCCTATCGGCAAACCATTGGGAAGAAACTGATTCAGCCAAAATCACGATAAGTCAGTCCTTTCTAGAAATACAACCATCGTTGTTGCGATCAAAATACCTCAGTCGCATGACAGGATACAAGTCGACACGATTTCATGGAGACACCGGAGACACCCAACGTAGTAAGACGTAGTAATTCTGCCACGCAACTTGAAAGCATGCCAAAGGCAAGCCTCCTGCGTGTAGTGCCGCTCCTGGAAGTCAGACCATGTCAACCGGCCTTCCTCAACCAGGTGACTCAAGTCACACTCAAGTCACACCCTGTGGTCCTCCAAACATGCAGCAAGAAACTCAGTATATCCAATGCCTCAGCTTACATCGCAGGGAACACATCCCAGGACTGACAAATGGGCTTGCATTCTGTGAAAACAAGCTAAGAACAGCGACGCTGGTCACCATTGCTGTCCATAGCCTCTGCGTGGAATGGTACTAGCATGCTCTCTTGCCAGCACTCGAAATGCAGCAAACAGACCCAATCCATGCGCACGCAGCATAAACCTACAATAAGCTCTTGCTGAAACCGATCTGCGCCCATCCATGCCTCCATGAGTCGCAAAAGATCAGCCTCTTTCACAGGCGAAGCTGGCGATCCGCAGTCACTGCCATTCGATACCTTGGTGTTTTGTGCACGTGCGGCGTGGACCCATGCATCCCGGAGCCATCCGGCACAGCAATTGGAATACATACACTGCGTTCGAGTAGCCACTGATGGCTTTCGGACTTTGGACCGTTTCTTTTTGCTCGCCGCATCGATTGCCTGCTTCAACTCTGCAAGTGACACCTCCTTAGATCAATCGCAGAGGCCTTCATTTGTTAGTCTTGGCCAAGCCGCAATCTACCAAATGGATGGCCACAGAAACTAATGCGGATAGTGAGCCCCGTCAGAATTGGTGTCCAAGGTTTGAAACATCTTGACCAAGTCCTGCAGTGGGAAAACTCACTTTTTCAGTCAGGCAAGCACGTGTCCACTACTGCTAATTCAATCTATGTCACGCATTTCCCACCTTGATATCCTCATCGGGAAGGTGCGTGGCAATGATTTGCATGCACTTCCTTAGTGCAGACGGCATCTGCTGGGGGAGCAGGGGTTGCGGCCAAGGAAAAAGGCACCTTGTTGCTTGTGGGGGGGGAGGGGATGTGGCCGACCATGGTAGCTGCTTGGTTCTGACAGCCATCACTCTCAACAATGTGTATGCGCAATCGCGAGCTCCATCGTCCGGAAGGGATGGAGGGAGGAGAAGGTGGAACGGAGGACAGGGAGGACGGAAGAGAAGAGGGAGGAGAGGGAGGACGGAAGAGAAGAGGGAGGAGGAGGGAGGAGAGGGGGGAGAGGGAGAAGGAGGAGACGGAGGAGAGGGAGGAGAGGGAGGAGAGGGAGGAGGCGGAGGAGGCGGAGGAGACGGAGGAGACGGGGGAGAGGAGGGAAGGGAGGTTCCGATCCTGCAAAGCCATTATTTTCTTCGAGTAAAACTGTTTTCATCATTCAGCAATGCTCCAGCTTTATACATATCCGCCGACCCCTTTCTCCAAAGGGGAGGCGCATGGGAAGGGCTTGTATTCGTCCTTGTCTTCGTGATGTTTATCAGCACCACTGATGTTGGGTGATGGGTTCGCAGCATCCGGGTCATCAGCATTCTACGTTTCAAGCTTGCCGTTCAACCCGGCTTGGAATGCAGTGATGCATTTTAGTCATGATTGTTATGACAGCTGCTGCTCATGCAGGGGATGCATAGTGATGATTGCCATCAGGATATCATCACGGTAACTGCTGGTGATGCTGGAGATGCGTAGTGATAATCATCAGGATCATCATGATCATCATGAGCAATGCTGCATCTGATCATCATCATCACTCTTCTCATCATCATCATGATGGTCATCATCATCTCTTTCTTGTTCTTATATGCATTTCAAAAGTAACGTTAGATGCATTGGCAATGCAGAGGATGCTACGATGATAGTTATCATCACAGTCCTCATCCTTATCATCATTATCATCATGGTCATCATCATCATCTCTTACTAGCCGCAGCATCCGGATCATCAGCATTCTACGTTTCAAGCTTGCCGTTCAACCCGGCTTGGAATGCAGTGATGCATTTTAGTCATGATTGATATGACAGCTGCTGCGCATGCAGGGGATGCATAGTGATGATTGTCATCAGGATATCATCACGGTAACTGCTGGTGATGCTGGAGATGCGTAGTGATGATCATCAGGATCATCATGATCATCATGAGCGATGCTGCAT